TCCTCCTCCTCCTTCTTCTTCTTCTTCTTCTTCTTCTTCTTCTTCTTCTTCTTCTTCTTCTTCTTCTTCTGTTTGCTATGTCCCAGGCATCTTGGGTTTTTTGCATCCTTTCTCTGCATGTCAACCCTATGTGATACCTAATGCTATCATGCCTGCTTTGTTGACAAAGACTTGAGCTTAATGAGTTCTCAGGACATAGTATTTGTACTAGCGCTAGTAATTGATGCTACTGGGTCTTTACTCAGAGAGATTTGGTTCCAAAACCCTCGTACTTTTAGTTTCTATATGCTTCCCTTTAAACCACAGAATCTCCTACCCATTCATTTATTCCCCAGCTTTCCTCATCCCCAGCTACCTGTCACAATCCTCATAGCTACATACATCCACATCCTAGTCACTCCCTCCAGTTACCACGATCAGGCATGCTGCTTCTCATGAGATGCCCTGAATGCTTCTGCCCTTGCCTGTCCAAAAGAAGAAAAAAAACTCGCAGGTTTTATCACGCTTCTCTTGATCTCTACAAACTCCTCACAACATCTTCCTCTCTTCTGCAGGATCAAAAATCTTAGAAAAGAATATACAGGAAAGCACGGAAAAATAGAAGCTTTAAAAGGTAATAAAATAACATTACATTTACATGGGTGTTTGACTTAGAGACTATGTCTCACTGCTGTAGCAGCTTGGTAGGGCTAAGAAACAGATATTCCAGATAGCTGGACACATCTTAAGACTAATTTTATATTGAAAATTGGTACCTAGATACATTCATACAATGAAAAATAATAAAAATTGTGAGACTATAAGCATCACTATATAGGTACTAAATGCAATTTCTTTGAAATCATGTCAGGTCTGGTATTTGACATATATGAAGGCCAAATCACTGCCCTCCTGGGTCACAGCGGAGCTGGGAAATCCACCCTGATAAATACACTTAGTGGATTGTCACCACCAACAGCAGGTGAGAGGACAGTTATCCAAATTCAAGCTCAAGGGCAAGTGAATAAACTGTACTTTTCGTTAGTTAATTTCATTCATTACTTTTTGTATCATGTCGTTAAGAGAAAAAATTTGGAATTTTCCTTAGATGTTATACAATGTGTACATGTGCTGAGCTATACGATATGCTTGCCTATTAGTGGGTACAATTTTATGCTTTCATAAGCCAACTGAGACTCTCAAACACATTTTAGAAGTTTAAGCTATTTTTATATAATTGTATTTAGGAAAATATGTTTGTATTTTAAGGAGGTTAAAAGTAACTTTATGATTACTCAGTTATTAATATTCCCTATAGATTAGATGTTATTCCAAACTTAATTTTATTTTATTTATTTATTAGTGTGTGTGTGTGTCTGTGTGTGTGTGTGTGTGGTATATATATGCGTACAAGTAAACTTGCCTCTGTGAGTGGGTGTGGAGGCCAGAAATTGATAGTGGATGTCTTCCTCAATCACTTCTCGACCTTTTTAAAATATATTATCTTTTATTTTTTGATAACTTCATATAAGTATATGCGTATCTTGGTCCTATTCATCCAGATCTCTCTCCAGTCCTCCCCCATCACCCCAACATATCTCTATTCTCTCTCCCAACTACATGTCTCTATTTTATTATAACCCACTAATACAGTTAGTGCTGCCTCTACACATGGGTATTGGGCCATCCACTAGGGTATGGGCAACCTACCAATGACCATGTCCTCCCCAAAGAAAAGCGACTCTCTGTCCTTCAGCAGCAGTCAACTGCCATTAGCTAGGCGTGAGGCATCTGGAGCTCCTCCCCACTCCATGACAGAATCTTTAAATCTCTTGATCACGTTTCCACCTTATTTTTTGAGTCAAGATCTCTCACTGAACTTGATGCTCACTGTTTCAAGCTGGATGACCAGTGAGCGCCACGGATGCTCCTGTCTCCATCTCCACTCCCAGCACTAGGATTACAGGTGCATGCCATCCTGCTCAGCTTTTACAAGAGTACTGTAGAGCCACATGCTTGTAAAGCATTCACTTTACCCACTAAGCCATCTCCTCAGCTCTGAACATTGACTTTTAATCAGTCAACTGAGAAATGCTTACAGGCAATGTGTGTGTGTGTGTATTTGAGTGAGTCATGAGATTTATATAATTCATACCTTGCCCTCTTTACTTTCTGTATATAGGCTCTGTCACCATCTATAATCAAGTACTTTCAGAACTGGCTGAGTTTGAAACTGTCATGAAACTTACTGGCGTTTGTCCACAATCCAATGTACATTTTGATTTTCTTACTGTGAGGGAGAATATCAAGCTGTTTGCTAAAATAAAAGGAATTCTACCACATGAAGTGGAGCAAGAGGTATACAAACATGTCCACGGTTGTGCAATTATGAAGAGGAAATTGGTCACCTAGGAAATGCTAAATGTGTTTGTGTTGCTTGTACACATTCATTGTCTAAGTTTAGACACAAAGGACTTTTATAAAGACAGATAAATGTGTCGGTCTTGGTGGCTCATGTCTGTAATCTTGGCACTTAGGTGGGCTGAGGCAGGGGTATTGCTAGAGTTCAAACTAACCTAGGCCACAGAGTGAGAATTTGGATCAAATAATCATAAATATCTTGGGTTTTAAGCTAAATCTATTTATTCGGTTAGGTACAACGAGTTTTACGGGACTTAGAAATGGAAAATATTCAAGACATTCTTGCTCAAAATCTAAGTGGTGGAAAGAAAAGGAAATTAACTTTGGGGATTGCCATTTTAGGAGATCCTCAGGTAAGCTGGAGTAAAACTACTGCTGAAATCAGATTAGAGACTCAAAAACTATTGTATTTGATAAATTTGCAACTGATAAATACAACTCTTGAAATGAGATATTACGTACTAATACCGACACCTTTGCAACTGTAATGCTGTTTGGAATATTCTTGCCCCAAAGTGACAAATTACCCTGTGACCTTTTCTATTGTCCAGATTTTGCTACTGGATGAACCAACTGCTGGGTTGGATCCTCTTTCAAGACACCGTGTGTGGAGCCTCTTGAAAGAGAGGAAGGCAGAGAGAGTAATTGTCTTTAGTACCCAGTTCATGGATGAAGCCGATATTCTGGCTGGTAATTTTTAGTTCTCTTTCCTGTATCTTAGTGAGGAACCTGGGACTAGGAACTCAAGTGCCTCGTGAACAGATAGACCCATAGCCGCATCTCACTGGTGACTGCCACGGCCAACACAGGAGAATGTTGCTTCCAGCTGTTAAGAGTGTCTTGTGTCCCAGAGTGCTTTGTCCCATGGAAGTATTCTGATCCCATTTGCAGAGAAGGAAAGGCTATATAATATTTGGTATTCTTATAGTTTCATTGGGTGTGGAGGCCAGTTGGCTTGAAAGAGATTGCTTAGATGCATAATAACTTTCCTAACTACACTAGATTAAACAAGAACAGTTTGTCATTGCAATTATTAGACCACAAAGCAAACGAAAGAGTTAGAATGCTTCTGTTCTAGTGTGGCAGTTTTCTAAAACACACTACTTTCCCATAGATTTAGATTTTCTCTTTATGAAAATGAAGAAGTTACTCCTAATGCAATTTGTCCTTTGGGTTTTCCCAACTAGACAGGAAGGTGTTTATATCCAACGGGAGGCTGAGGTGTGCAGGTTCATCTCTATTCCTGAAGAAGAAATGGGGCATTGGCTACCACTTAAGGTATGGCTCTTAATGTTGGAAACTAATTGAGATAGGCTGAGCATGCTGGTAATAGGCGCTGTCAGTGTCAGTAGGTCGAAGTAGGTATACAGTTACAAAGGCCATTGCAGGGAGCTGTGTTAGGACTAAAGTATACCAGCCCTTAGCTAGAATATCAGATATGTGGGAGTTTTAGACACTGAAAATCTAAGGATGTAAGTTTAAAGAAAATTCTTGGAAAATGTTTTATATAATATGTTGCTTTCTGAGAATAATTTCTTTCTGTTTTGATCTTTTCTCTCATCATGTTTCAGAAGCTTATTTATGTCCATCACGATGCCTTCCACACACGCCTCTCTAGTCTCCATGCCCCCATTTTGCTACCTTCCTCCTCTGTGCTCTTCACTTCATGGTAGCAATTATGATCATTATTAAATCACGTCACTCATCAAGCTCTGGCTCCATTTTACAGACCTGCTAAGAAATCCGCATAGAGTATACTCCTGTTATCAGTTAATTCTCCATGTGACTAGTAACAACTTGCTGCCACAATTCTTTGATAATCAAGAACACCACACGCCAGGAAGTTTAATGTCCCTGTCTCCCATTGTTTCAAGGTGGTAGAGCCTTTGGATCATGATACAGGTGACCTGCAATTAAAGTGATTATTTCATGGAGAGGTTATAAAAAGGATTATGGATGTGATGTGAATTTTGGACTGTACTTCCCACTGAAATAATTTTAAAACAATAAAAATCACATTATCCCCAGTGGTCCGATGGACCCTGTTACTATTTAATCTGATTGCTTAAACTGATCAAATCTACCATTCTATCAGTTTTTTTACTCATTTCCCTCCAACTGAAAGGTACCACTCACTGGTCTCAAGGGAGGTCTCTATGTAGGTCTTTGTAGTTTTTGTGTTTCTGTTTTATAAGGGACATCCAGCTGTTATAACAACCTCTATCTTATTTAACCATGTACAAATCTTATCTATTCTTTTTTTAAAAAAAGACTTATTTCATTTTTAGCTATCCTTATGTGTGTGTTCCACATGAGGCCAAAAGAAGGTATCAGATCCCCTGGAGTGAGAGCTGTAGGTAGTTGCAAGCTGCCTGATACTGGTACTGGGAACCAAACTCTGGTATTCTGTAAGAGCAACAAATATTCTTAAGTGCTGAGCCATCTCTCCAGCCCTGTTATTTCTTCCTTCCTTCCTTTCATATATATATATATATATATATTTTTTTTTATACATATGCACCCATGTTGTGCAGTGCTTGTAGAGGTCAGAAGAGAGCGTCAGATCCCCTGGAACTGAAGTTAAGGATGGTTGTTAGCCACCATGTAGGCTGAGAATTGAACCCAGATCCTTTGCAAGAGCAGACAATACTCTTAACAGCTGAGTTTTTTTTTTTTTTTTGAGACAGGGTCTCCCTGTAGCCCCTGCTGGCCTAAAAATTGCTATGTAGACCAGACTGGCCTCAATCTCACAGTGAGCCACCAGCCTCTACTTCCTAAGCTTGTGATTAAAGGCGTGTACCACCACACCTGACCCGTTTCTGGTTGTTTATTACCTATTCTTGAAATCTATTTCTGAATGTTTCTCCTTAATGAACATCTTCTTTGGTGTAACCCAGAAATCACTAATTTAAATTGAAACTTTTTGCAAATTCATTAATTTTTTTGGTTCTTAGTGACTTCGTTTGTGAAATAGCAGTAATAATGCCTACTTTGTAGTCAAGGTTAACTGATATTGATGAGTGAATAATTGAAAGGTCTAGAGTACTTAACTGAATTAACACAGCTTTCCTCTCACTTTTTCTGCAATAGTCTGATTTGTATTATTGGTCTATTATGAGCTCTTTTTGGGGAAGGTGTTGGATTCTTTCTACTTGATATCTTTTATAATGATAGACATAGCACTTTGTAAGCACAGAACAGTTTTTAAAGAGTTTAAGTCTGTGTCATCAGTGAATTGTGATATTTGCACCACATTGTCATCTTAGTACATTTCAGTGGACATGGCTAAAAGGGAATTTCTGAAATCCAACAATTCCTTAAAGAACATTATATGGTCTTATCAAAGACATCAGTGTTCACTCAAATAATTCTGCACAGAAAGATCATATTAAGATACACTGAAAGTTTACTTCATGAAACACCCTGTGCTATCTCATAATATTGTTTTTAATCCTTCATTCAAAATTTTGACTCAAGAATTTCATACAATGTATTTTGATCATATTCAGCCTGTCCCTCCTCTCCACCACACCTTACTGCCCATGCCAACTTCATACCCTTTACTGTTACTTGTCTTTATTTTTTAAAGTCCTATTGAGTGTGTTTCCCATGTGCTTTCGTGTGTGGGTCTATCCCTTGGAATTTGAACAATCTACCAGGCATCATACCAGTAAGGAAAACTGAGTTCCTCTCCTAGCTTTCATCAAATGCCAATAGATCCTCATCTAGGGCTGGAGCTGTCTGCCCACATCTCCAGTTCATGCTGGGCCCCTGTCTGGCTTGGGCTTGCACAGGTTTTGTGCATGCTGTCACAAGCACTGTGGGTTCATATGTGCAACTACCCTGTGGTGTCCAGACAACAGTTTCTTTGTATTCATCTACTACCTTTTTGGACTCTTACAATTTTTCTGCCCCCTCTTCCACAGTAATCCCCCACCCTTGTGGGGAGAGGGTGTGATACAGGTGTCCCATTTAGGGCTGAGAACTATGCAGTCTCTTATTCTCTGCATGCCGACCATTTGTGGGTCTCTGAGTTAATCACCATCTGCTATAAGAAGAACCAGGAATGGACTTCCCCTTTTGGAGTCATTGACCAGGCAAATCCCATAGATCCTCAAACACTTCCAGCTGTTGCCATTGCACTTGGTTACTGTCACCAGAGTTCTCTCTGGGTCTCTTGCACTATCAGACAAACCAAATTACATATCTTTATGCATATTTATTATTCTCATGGGGGGGAGGGGAGTGACATACAAAGAGACAAACACCCAGTGCCTAGCCGCTCAGGTCCATGCTGCCCAGCTCTGCACCTCGGCTCAGAGCCCACCATATCAGATCGCTCCCATGGCACCCCCATAGTCACTGCTAGCTTTCTCCCATGCCTCAGGGGCCAGCAGTCTCTCCCCAGGTCTGTAAGTGCCAGGCCATTCTGGTCTTGAGTATGCTCAGCTGCTGCGCATTCCCCATGCCTACCTCCATGCATTCCCGGCAGCTTGCGGCCTCCATCCCAAGATGGCACCACAAGCCCCTCCTGTGGCTAACTCTCCACAGTCAATTCTCTGCAGCAGGCCCTGCCCATGGAGGAACCAGGACCCCTGGGGAACACACTCTACCCCTTTCCTCTGCTCTTACAATCTTTCTGCCAATCTTCCGCTAAGATCCCTGAGCCTTGGAGGGGGTGACAGATATAGGGCTATCTCTCTTGTATTGTGGTGAGACAGTGACTTCTTGGACCTCCCCATTATTTGTCTTTAAGCTGTGGCCATTGATCTATCTCAGTGGTGTTTCTTCTACTATAAAGACAAATGGAAGGAAGTAGACACATTCAAACCAACATGAATGTAAATACAAATGCCTAGAAGATATCCCAGTAGGTATACTATATTCATTAAACGGTATGTGATGGCTTCTGCACTCGGTCCTATAGCCGTTCTCAACACAAGGCATTGGCCTTGTCTACAGCACCAGATGTGTGTTCCACCCCTAGGAGCGGGCCTTGTCCAATTAGAAATTTGTCAGTTGTACGTATGTTGGGGGAGCCATTATTGTACTTGCAGGCATTGCTTGGCATGTCCATAGTGTGCAGCATGTGGGGTCCATTGTTAAGTAGGATCATAGGGGATCCTTTCTTCCCCAACCATCTGTATAGTGCCTTTTGGCAATATGAACGTCACCCATCCAGTGGCATGGGGTTTTTTGGCTTAGTCTCAGCTCCATCTCCTCTTCTCCCATGCTCACAACATGCAGTGTCTTCAGCAACATGGCCTTACTGACCTTTCTAGTGTACAACCGACATTAATGGCAAAAGCCTTGGTGAATTTAAGGATCTCTAGGATCTCTCTGACCAACAGCTCACAGGGCGGTAACCCACCCCGGTACTGTAGATTTTCTTAACAGTTGTATAGTTTGGGAGTCTCTGCCTTTATCTCACCCAACCAGAAAACTCCCAAGAATCTTTCAGCTATCGCTGGCCTTTGCTTCTTCAGGTATCTTTCTAATGGGTTTCACATCTGTAAAACACTCGAAGGAAGGTTAACATTATATATTAAATCACTCATAGACAAGGTCTCACCAGGCACGGTAAGGTTTTGTCCATTCGTATTAACTGTTTTCTCCATAGATCCTTGTTAGGTACCACAGCATGGGTACAAGGCATTAATTTGGTTAACTATTTATCATTTTTAGTTATCCCTTTGGAGTCATTTCGCACTTTGGGGATTTTACATGGAGTGTCTTTGTATTCTTTTATTCTTGATACACTTAGAGGTGTTGGCTCCAGTTGCCTGACCCTGGACTGGGCTAAGGAGGCAGGGGGCTTCTCCTGTCCCCGCTGCACTTGTTGGTTCCCTGAGTCAGGCAGGCCCTGGATCTACCTCCTGACTGTAGCCATATCTGTCATCTTCCCATTGACCACACCAGGTTTCTGGGGGAGAACTTGGTGGGAAAACCTGCTTCCACCCCTAGTGTAGCCTTTATCAGAAGAGAAATGTACCTTATTTAATCCGTGGGGTTCTTAACCACCCCTGGGACAGTTTTTATCCTTTGAATATCTTTTGTAATTCTTCTGGTTTTAAAGCCTTCCAGAAATGCCTTAGTACCGAATTTGGTTTTCTGTCAACTTTTTCTCTGGGAATTTGGGCTTGACATAAGTCTTGCCACATTTGTCTTTGAGTAAACGAAATGGGCCATTTCTTCAGTCTGGTCTTTTTTATATCTCTTATAGGGTGTTCTGTTATTTTACAGACACATTTTACATGCTGGTCAGAATCATTAGATTTGCCAAAGCCTCTCTCACTTTACAAAGATCCTGTCCCATTAAAGGGCTTAGTAAAACCATTAAAGCTCCATACCATTCTCAAGGTCCCAGTTGGATTAAGCTTTCCTTCATGTCTCTGGTGAACACAGTCTTATCTGGCCCAGTGAACTGGGTATCATATGTTGATTTTCTCATACCTAATCCTCGCAGTAATGTCTGCCCCTCCTTTATAGTCCTCCAGCCCCTGCTAATCATGTTAGTCTCCCTTGGTGACAACCATGTATCTTTAATGCCTTCAACCAGTCTTCCCATTAAGGACTGCTCCCCCCTGCGTTGGCCTGGGTTGAACAGCTTATATAGCAAGGACAGATGGGTGGTTATATAACTCAGCTGTGAGGCTTCTGAAGGACTTAGACTGATGTCATTTGCTCCCATGTCCCAGTCTCACAAGCCATGTGGCTAGGGCCTCTCTGATTGCTTGCTTGTACGTTTGTCCTAGTTTTAACAGTTCCAGTGTGGAGTATTTCCTAGCTACAGCACTGTTAGCTTTTTTTCCTTTTGTATCAACAGTTGAATCTGAGGGGCAGCCTTAGCTACTTTTATTTTTAGGTCATTTTCTTTTTTACTGTTACCTGTCTTTTCCTCTGAGTCCTTAGACCTTACACAAGTCAAAGTGTCTCACCTTTTCTCTCTCTCCAGCTCTGCAACTGGGTGGGGCAGGACCTTCCTAGCCTTTTCAGCTTCCCCTACCTGGGGCACATCCTTTAGTATGCAAAGTGGCCGTGCCCCCTCTCTGGGTGCTCATTTGGGCCCAGCACTGGTAAAAGATTTTCTAGCCTCTGAATAACCTTTAACAAATTTTCAATTTAACAATTTAACAAATTTTACCCACAACATATCCCCACATTTACTACATAGCTGTGGCCCATGCTTCTGTATTGACTGGCCTCTTTTTAGATACAGATTTTATAATCCATTGTATAACCCACGTGATTATTGCTAACCCCGTTAAGGTATGGGGTTTGATTGCCTTCTCCCCTGGATTCTTGGCAGCTGCTCCTGGACTTGAGAATCAGAGCCCAGCTGACCTGCCACAGAGGCAGTGGGAACAGTACTGCTTTCCCAGACCCACATCCCCAAGATTGTGGTTCATTTATCCTGGCCGGACTATACCAGTTTGTCACCAGAGTTCTCTCTGGGTCTCTTGCGCTATCAGGCGAACCACATAACATATCTTTATGTACATTTATTATTATCGTGGGGGGGAGTACCTTACAAATAAACACTCAGTGCCTAGCTCTGCACCGCTCAGCTCTGCACCACCCAGCTATGTGTTGTGGGTCAGAGCCCACCATACCAGATCGCTCCTGTGGCACGCCAATAGTCACCGCTATCTTTCACCCATTCCTCAGGGGCCAGCGGTCTCGCCCCAGGTCTGTAAGTGCCAGGCCATTCTGGTCTTGAGTATGCCTGGCTGCTGCACGTTCCCCACACCCATTCCTCAGGGGCCAGCGGTCTCGCCCCAGGTCTGTAAGTGCCAGGCCATTCTGGTCTTGAGTATGCCTGGCTGCTGCACGTTCCCCACACCCACCTCCATGTGTTCCTGGTGGCTTGCGGCCTCTGTACCAAGATGGCGTCACAAGCCCTCCTTCTGTGGCTAACTCTCCACAGTCAATCCTCTACAGCAGGCCCCACCCCTTGGAGGAACCAGGACC